CCGACGCACTTATCATGATTGGCTTTTGCTTTGAGAATCATTCTGATAATGGTCATTTATTGGAGTGTAAGAATACTAAGTCGATTGTTTTAAGCAAAATCAAATAAAATGTCACAGATTTCACATGTAAAAACTGTTTGTTTTTTAAAAGACATTGTATAACCAATCAAACTGTTCATTGACATATTGCTTAAACAATTTGACGAGTTAAATGAATGTACTTTTATGTGCCAAGTTTTACGCCACCAATCTGTTCATCAGTTCAGAATATTTTTGTTGAATAAATAAAACAGGAGAAAAGCGTTTATTTTGTAACATGAGATTTCGTAGTGATGTTGACTGAATAAGGCTACTTACTGTATTCCATGCTATTACTGTAGTCGTCAGCTAAAGCAACACGCTTTGATAAGTGATGTCATAATGAATACGGGAAATAATCTGTTCTTTTTCACTATTATATATATATATATATATATATATATGTACAACGTAAGGCGTATAATATTTTATGACAAACAGTCTACACATACTTACAGACAGATACATGCATCAAATAGGCCTGTCTATGGCCGGGGGATAAAAACCGAGACCAGTGTTTTTCTTTTTTCATTCAAAATGCATAAATTAAAATTGATAATCAATAGGCTTTTCTCGCTCAATTTCTATTTGCTGCCCTATTCTCTCACTCTCCATTTGTGTTTCTCTAGCTGCCTTCTTCTGGATAATTCTGTTTTATCCTCTATATTATAATCTAAAATCTATATAATCCATAGGCAATATGATCAAATGCTGTGGTTAGAGAAATAAAGAATGGAAAAGCAACTCTTGTTGTTAATATTATTGGATTTTTTCTCCCTCTTTGGTTTCTGTTTTTTTTTTAATGTTTCTGAGTTTGTTTTTTATCTTTTGAATAAAAATTTTTAATTCAATTATTTTATGCCTCATTTGATAAATCGTCATCGTCAAGACAAAACAGTGAGGAAAGAGACAGACAGGTAAGAAGCAGAAGGTGGTATCTTGTGGGTGTGTACGTGTACGTGTGTGCATGTAAGACATGTGAATTGCTGTTTTGTAAGCTAGATACTGGCAATCTATGTATTTAATTCAAGCGTTTTAGTAGAAGAAAACGTTTATTCTCCCTATTCGCCGATGGTAACAAACTATTTTCCTTACGATTAAAATGAAGCAAAAGACAAGTTCTGAGAATTTTAACATTCAAGTGATTAGCATTGAGTTGGATAAAGGAGCATGTAATTGGTTAAACTGTTGTGTTCGATTTATGTGAGACAATATAATTCATAAATAATGCAGGAAAATTGTTACAATAAACGTTGTAATCGTAAGAAGTTAATCAAGGGAAATATCTCAACAATTTCATCTTGTTCATCTATATAAATATTAGCTTAGACTATTCTTTACAAACTTATAAGTTATCGTCAAGAGACTATTCTTCTCCCCAATGTAATCTTTTGCTTCACTCTTTGATATATATATATATTCTTTTCGAAATAATGAATAGCAACCAATCAGAAGAAGGTAAAGAGAGAAATACTACAGAGAAATATGATGTGAAATCAAAAGTTCTTTTTATGTACATAAGGTAACATAAGGAATGATACCATAATAATGTCCAACAGTTGGAACTAGACAATTCGCAAATACGTCAGCATTATATTTAGTATATGACAATCTCTAGACAATTTCTACGCATGTCTCTGTTGACTTGGATGAATAATTTATGTCTCGAAAAGTCAGATTTCATCAATCCTAAAGATAGTTTAGACAACAGTCTATGGAAATTGATGTAATATTTTCTATCACATATGGATAGGTTTATAACTGTTGCATCTTATATATCTGCTTTACCGTTGTCAACATATTTTGAGGGGAGTTCAATCAGTCATAACTATATATATATATATATATATCTTATTATTATTTGTAACACGATAGTTTCCCATTTGAAATAGAATTCATGACATTTCCGATTATCGATTAGATAACTATCTGTTGATCGCATTCAAAATGCTAAGCAGTTCACTACTAAGTTAATGGTTATTCACTTGTTCTCTAAGCACTTTCTTCACCTCTTTATGATTACTATTCATAGTTGAAATTGTAAAATAATGTCATTTTTATGCTTCTTACCCAAGTGAAACAACATCTACCTCCATTGGGGAAAAATCTCATCTTATTTCCGTTTAATATAGAGGATGAATAAAGTTTCATTTGCCATAGGCAACAGTTCGTTCTTTTTTGCTTAATTCTACTGTATTTTATCGATTTTAAACAAATACTTCACTTTGTTATGAATGATTTATCCACGTTTATTCATTTTCACCTCTAAAAATCGAGAAAAATTGAAATATCAAGAAGAGAAATCCTTTTACCATAAAATTCGCCCAACACCTATCTATCTCTCATTTCTGAATTATTTTGGTGCTAAATATTTGGCATTTATAGGTAGGAAGCATTATTTCATCAGGGTATAGCTCATATACGTTTTTATCGGCACAAAACACATATTGTTCTCTTAGAGACTTGGGATTTTGTTATTCAATACCGAAATATAAGGAATTCAAGAAAAAGATATTGGTCTCATGATTTATACTGGTTAGGAACAGAAAGGTTTTATGTATTTTTTACCCGGTGATAAACAGTCAGTTAGGCTGACAGAAGTTTCTATACATGCGTCATTGAATTCCAGCCTAAGTAGCTGGTATCACTAACCTGATGGTCGATGGTTAGACTCTTATCAAAATTGTGAGTGCTCACTGCTGAAGAGTCCCGAATTAGGATAAAACAGCTGACTAGTGCTCACTTATTTTTATTGACCTCACTCCCAAAACTTGTGTTGTTTCATGAAATGATCTTCGATGAAAGTAAAGTTTCACTGCGTAACTGCTGACATGATTTTAGTGAGCATCTAACTTACCTATAGCAAATGATAACATAAAACTACATGTATCTTCACTGAGCAGTGCATGAGGAACAAAGAATAGTTATAGAAAAAGACTGTTGTTTATTATATAATAATATTAGCAGCGAATAGTATAATATCTCAAACGAAGTCAACAAAAGAAAGCCTAATCCAACTCATAAGTTAATAGTAACTTGCAGTTATAAGTGAAAGATATAACTGACTTTTCGGGTGGTTGTATACAGATACAATTAACAAGGACCATCATAGCATATGTAGTAAATTAAGTTTTAAGTACGTTAGTCTGCATAGGGTTATCGGAGGATAATTATTTACCTCTAAGGAGATGCTTTTAAGCCATAATAAGTTAATTAGATTCGCCTTTACAATCAAACTATTGTTGTGTAATTAAAAAAATAACTGGAACATTTAAATGATAAAAAGCTCCATGTGGACATTGAAGTGATACAGAACATACTTGGCCTTAGTTCTGAGTGTAAAGTATGCTACTGTTAGTCATTATTTTAGAACATTTAATGGCATTCTGCTCGTCACCATCAAAATATAGTAAGTACCTATATTTTGCGGCTTAACTGGACTATTTCCAGTGAATTACTTTTCCTACTCTTCTACACGTCAGCATTATCTCATTCACTGGAATGCAGAAAGCTTAATCACTGACATTTTATAATATCCCATGTATTTTTTAAATGAAATTTCACTGATACATGAAGGGTGGGCTAGTATTTTACATCATTTGACATTGTTCTGCTATTAACAAATGCACTCATCCATAAAACCCACAGGTTTTACCTGTAGACAGGTGAACAGTATTACTTTACCATGAGAAATAATGAAAACTATTACTTTAATGCAACACACAGAGAATATTAGGTGTCCTACTAAATTTCATATTCTTTAAGCAAATGAACAATATTGGAATGGAAAGCTATTGAAGACTCTACTTAAGCCACGCTGCTCATCATAAGTCAATAGTTTATTAGTCTGAGCAGCTTCATTCAGCATAACAAGCTGTATGATTAATGTATGAAAATCACTTTTTGTAGTCCATGTAACCATGTTAGAAACTAAAGTCTCACTGGATAAGTTCAACTTAATAACTGTTTATTTATATAAAAAAGAAGTACTTTACAAACATTTATTAACCTTTCGTGAATTAGTTTGTAGGGAATCTATTTTTTTTCAGATTAGACCACAGATTGATATCAGTCAGGGAAAAATTGAAAACCTAAGAGTACTGGACAGCTGTTTCATCCTAGTTCGGGATTCGTCTGCAGTACGTACCCACTCGGTCTCAAACCTGGGACCTTCCAGTTACAATGCAAAGTCGTATATCACTCATCCAATGTGACCTAATTCAATGGCCTATGAATTCTAACTTCCAGTGATTCGTGATTTTAGCGTGACCCCCCAACCAATGTCATCGGTAGGAAATCCATCCTCGCTCCAAACTAGCAGGAGTTAGGATTCATGGGTCATTGAATGGGATCCCCGTGGTTGAGTGGTATACGAAATTGCATTGTAACCGCAATGTCCCGGTTTGAAATTGAGGGGGTGCGTACTGCAGATGGATCTCGAGCTAGGATGAAACAGCTGTCCACCACTCCTCGATTTTCAATTCCTCTGTAACTGACATCAATCTGTGGTCTAGCCTGATACTTCAGTTATCAATGAATAACATATATACAGATTTTTGAAGATGTTTTTGCATTATAAAGTATTAAAATCGAATTCAGAGTAATTATAGGCTAATAAGCATGATCTTTGTTTGTGGATTTATTTCCCTTTTTACTAGATAGACAATATGTTAACATTAACATGTCTTGTATAAGAGTAGTAATAAGAATAATAATAACACAACCCTTTGTTGTATTGTCTGTACATATCCACTGTCTCCACAAAAAAGGGTCATATATTAATTATGAATACTGAGAAGAAAAGTAATGCTTCTCAATAGACTTGCTTAAAACAAAGTCAAACAAAAAAACAATGGAGAATAATAAAAGGCATTCTGAGAATTTAATTTAAGTGAATTAGGCATAGTCAATAATTAACTCACTGTTTCATAGATATTCCTTCACGAATTCTTTAAAGGAAAAGAATACGGAATATTATTAATTCAAGATGTGTACATATTTTTATAGTTATTACTAATATTATTAATAATAATAATAAAGTGATTAATTATATAAATCAGATAACAAACGTATATCATTTTTACAGTAAATAATTCAAACAGCGGTACACAAAATGGTCTCATGATCGTTGAACACCTAAATTTTGAATACATCTACACTTGAAAGGTGTTTGTATGTAAGTGGATGCACATTTATACACATATAAGCATACATATATATCGTTTAGTCTGGTAGTACCTGATGAAATCAGTCTTTTCTTAGTCTGAAAATATTTATTCACTATGTTAGACTTTACAAGGTATACAAACGTCGAAATATATATAACTGAGTTGAGATTATTAATATTATTATGACTATCAGTGAAATAGTCTATCTGCATTTTGTAATGAAAAATAATGATTACCGACAGATATTAATCATTAGCTATTTGTCTTGACAATAAATTTTTGAAAAGTTTACAAGTATTTTCGACTTTATACTCATAAATCTACATCGAAGTATAGAAAAGTGTGAAGAGATTGTCTGTGAAACGAATACAATGAAGATAATTGACTGCTGATAAAATATATACCATTGAAAACAAAATTCAGCATTGAAGAGAAAAAAGCACGTGCACTAATAAAAATACAATTTGTTTTTTCGAAGATAATATGCCTATAGGATGATGTTTGGAAGAAAACAGATAAATAAAATCAGAGTAGAACATTTAACATTTAGTGAAACGTTGTTGGTAACGTCATACTACATTAGTAGGGACATGTCATGAAGCGAAGCTATCTCCCTCCTTCAGTCAGTTCACTAGCTGATTCATTTGTCTTTGTACATCAACATACGTGTTAAATCAGGTGAATAGGATAAAGGCTCATAGCAGATATTATGAATATTTCTCAAGAGGTCAAGGTTTAAGAGATTGAGTATTTCAAAAGTGCTGTTAAACTCTTTGGTTAGCAAATATGGCAGAGATGATTACTAGTTCAATCAAAACACAAATGGTGGAGATGTTTTGCTGCTTAATTTCTATCTATTCTGATAATGTAATTTGTATTTACTTTGTACGCAGTGATACATTATTTTCATGACCAACTCAAAGTGATAAGACATGACTGTGAGTAGGAAATTGTGCTCAAAATTTCATCCACTGAATAGTACTTTGGCAAAGTATACTTTAATAAACAAACAGGCTAATACGGAATTATACTGTACCACTACACCCGAGTGTTGCTATTATATTAACTTGACCAATTCCACTGAAATATTTTGCTTTAACTAAAGACATTCTTTACAATAAGTTTTAACATAAACCATTCCAAGCCTACTTCTAGCATTCACCAAGGTTCAAAAAATGTTTAGCTCAATTTGTAGATCTTTTGGTCTTTTAGCCATTTCCCAAGTTTGTTACACTTTAACGAAGTTTCCTAAGTCGACTTAGGCGTTATACACAGCTCAGCTTCACAGTTAAGTAGCTTACATCAATTTTGTAAGTGTATTTGCCTGTTATCACTTTCATTCTAAGGCACCCAATATTATCACTTCACTACTAAACTGACCAGCTTCACCCTGTTTATTAACTTATTGTCGCTGAGTCACTTGAGTTCTACTTCACTTCAATGTATTAACTAATAATGTTTTCCATTATGAAATAATAGAGAAGATTTGTAGCTCAGGTGGACGATTTGCAGTTAATAGTGTTCTCTGAGCTGGTTGGCTGAGTTGCGGAGCTTTCGTCGTCCTTCTGGACAACATCTTCAGCGCAATATTTAGCTTTATATTAAATATAATGCTAAATATTGCGCTGAAGATGTTGTCCAGAAGGACGACGAAAGCTGCACAACTAAGCCAATCAGCTCAGAGAACACTATTAGTTGCAAATGTTTTCCATTATATTGCAATTGACGGGAAGTGATGAAATAGTCTAATTGGTTCATGTTATCCTACTTCACTAACTATTCCTTTATCTCACTTTTGCATGTTGCATAGAAAATAGTAGATTGTTTTGATAAATAGATATATTATACAAAAAGAATATTCATGCCAAAATAAACGAGTAGAGAAAAAAATTTCAAAATATGATTGATGTACGCAAGGTTTGCATAAAACTAATATGAGCTACAATCGTTCTTAGATATGCAGGAATTCATTCCAAAGAATTGTAATGTGAAAAAAAGCAACTGTCAATATCCAAGTTATACAACAAGTGATCAAAACAAAATCATTGCACGATAACTAACTAATTTGATATTTTACCACATATTTCTTTTACTATACACACGGACAATTTAAGCTGAAATCTAAGAAAGAATACCTTCATTGTAATACACTTGCGTTCACTGGAAAGACGTCATTTGACTCAGTTGTAGGAGTGTTTAGTATTTAGTCAAGTTAGATTATCTATTAATCTCAACTACTAAATCTTTAAGTAGTATATTTAAATGCATTAAATTAGAGAATTAAAATAGCTAATTACTACACAAAAATAGGTTTTAGTGGTGTTTTTAAATTTTCATGTCTAGAATTTTCTTCTCTCCTTTGAAGCACTTCCAAGTATACACATCATTCATTTTTCTAGATAATACTGATTCATTCTTGTAATTTATTATGTTTTGAATAATATTTTCAGAAGGCTTATTATTTTAACAGAAAAAATGTGTAAATAAAATGACTTGAATGCCCGTAAAACTGTTGTTTTACCCAGTGACCTATATCTTTTTCCCCCGAGAAATTTCCTGCCTAATCTTAAAATTATTCAGTCGCCATAGTCGTTATTAGGAAAGGGAAAAATGTAAAATGTCTGGTCTTTAAAGCTACTGTTCAGTATAGAGTGTTTCTTTATGTTTACTGGAAACTTGGTCACCAAAGAGAACTCAATAATTCAGTCTTTTGATGCGCTTAAAAACACGAAGTATTCACTCAAGAGTTTTGTAATTATTATGAAATTGAGCTACATATTAACGAAATTAAATGAGTTTATTTGTGTGTAAAACAGCAAATAAACTTCTATGCTATTGAACAGATGTGAATATCATGAAGTATGGACATTGACTCTTGAGCAAAGAAGGTAAGCAAGTCGATTAGGTTTTAAATCTAGAGTGTCTTAGGTTGTCAGAATACAAGTAACGTAAATATAGCTGTTGCTTTTCTCGATAAGGAGTACAATATGACTGAAAACAAATTATGAGTGGTTGGACAAAAACTTAGCATCAATTCACGAAGTCATTGACTGTTGGTCTGAGTCATGTACTTTGGTGTTGACAACCAGATGGAGGGCGTGTTTCTGATGCACATTAACATTGGTTATTACTGGTGTTGAAAACATTGTAACTTTCCTGTAAAGGTAATTCATCTTGATTACTGTAGAATTATTATCGTTGTAAAATCATCTACCGAAATTATGTAAAAATAAAGGTAATCTGTTTACAGGATTTCATCATGAGCTGACATTGTTTAGAGAACTATTGGAAAACAAACCGGGAGTACTGGACAGCTGTTTCGTCCTGGTTTGGGACTCCTCATCAGTACGCACCCACCGGGGTTGAAATCTAGGACCTTCTGATTACAAGGCAAGCTCGTATACCATTAAGCCACTGAGACCTAATCCAACGGCCTATGAATTCTAACTTCTGCCAATTCACGACATAGCGCGACCCCTAGAAAATGTCTTCGGCGAGTATTTCTGCTGCACCCTACTGGTCACGACTTCCCACTGGAACCCCAGGTAACTACCTACTTGAATAGGGCCAGTAGCCAGTGGGCATCTCGTTGATATTCAGTGGTTCTCTAACCAGTGTCAGCTCATGATGAAATCCTGTAACCAATCAACCAAATCCTTACAAACCAATACTTGAATAAAGGTGATCTGTTTGAAATACTTAATAACTCGAAGATACTATTTTCTTTTATGTAAAACATCACAAAGACTAGAGATTTATAATAAACTAAGAGAACCTAAAAACTACTCGTCAGACAAAATAATGGAACGTGTAGCCAAATACCCTAGACATATATTCTTGAATTCAAAGTGTAAGCAGAACTTTAATACACACACATGTGTTGAACATTTATAAGGCTGTACAAATTACATAGATTGACACCTAACATATAATAAAACCATCATAATCTCATCATTAACATTATTAGCATCCTTAGTATGAAATGTATACATCAGTAGATAAATAATCAAACAAGTAACTGAATGCATAAGCGAATGGTTGAGTGAATACTTCTCATCCATTGGTTTGAATTAACACTTTAATCCATTGTTTATATAAACATATATGTATATGAACAATACAACACTGTAGCACTGCATGGAAACACTATCTTATTGATTAGTTGTCTCGAATTCATTTTCAAATAAATATTCTATATATTATTACTGCAAAATAGCTGCGCATATACGGTAAGATGAAACCTAAACAATGTTCGTCCAGTGCATAGTTGTACATATAAGGAAGAGAATAACGGACTACATGGAGATCTCAATAAAGAGAAAATGGCAAGTGAAAAATTGTTTTCACTCAAACAAACCATATTTTTTTTCTCTCGAATGTATGTAGTTGGCATAAATTATTCTCATTTTTTTCAAGTTGTACTCATCTCACTGATAATTGCGAAATGGAAATAAAACGACTGTAAAAAGAATTCAAAGTAGTGATATCAGTTAGAGAACCATTGAAAACCAGGGAGTAATGGACAGCTGCTGTTTCATCCTAGTTTGGGAATCATCGGCAGTACGCACCCACTGGGATTCGAACCCGGGACCTTCCAGTTACAAGGCAAGCTCGTATACCATTTAGCCACTGGGACAAACTCAGTGGCTTATGAATTCTAACTTCTACTAATTGTCACGTGTGTGGATGGATGTCCCACCAACGACAATGGTTAGGGTCGCGCTAAATCACGATGTGGTAGAAGTGAGAATTCATGAGCCATTGAATCGGGCCCCAAGGGC